TCCGTGCCTCGATCGGTGTTCCATCCGGACCAGTTTCCTTCCCAGCCTTCATCTTTCTCATGGGTCTGTGACCTCTTCCTCTGTCCATAGTTTAAGGAGTCCAGCCGTTGCCTCTAATTGGGATCTGTTCTTACGGGCGCATTCCTTGTTTGGAAGCCGTCGAAGCAATCCTTCCACCTAAGTCAGACCTCGCTTAGTAGGCTTCCTTAGAATTGCACCCTCGCTCCTCCTGATAGGCATCGCCACCCCATCGTCTTAAGTAGCCCGGTGCCGCGCTTCCGCAGTGTCGCAGTCAGAAGACGAACTTCTGTCCTTATCGACTATCAAGTTTCTCTTACAAGGCGTCCGTTTCCGTATACTTTGCCTTCGCTACAGCAGTCATATCAGGCTTTTCGGAATATTCGAGGTCTGTTGGAATATTCGGAGTCGAAGTCCAGATCCCAGTATCTTCTCTTTGGGGTGTTTCTTCCGACTCGATGCAGTTTCCACCACCAAATCCTCCGTTCCGTTCTTGTCCTTATTTATTGGGAAAATAGCTATGTCTGCTTGGAGAGGCTTAGGCTAAAGAACCAGATCCTCTCCAGGCGATTGTTTTATGTGTTTCATAGTTTTGAGGGATCACCTTCTTACAAGTACGTGGTCTAAATCTGTTTCTTCCCCTCTACTGCTGTTTTCCTTTTCGCCAAGAATGCGCTGCATCGTGGGTTGGGACCAGGTTGAAAATTCCTTCTCCTTTTCCGTTCCTAGCTACTATTCTCTAGCTTCCGTGGATCCTTTAAAAGTTCATTTGCTCTCTCCCAACGTGACCATTGCGATCTTTTTCTGGTGTGAGGTGGTTCTCCTTCTGAACCTATTGGACTGCCGCGTTGAGGCATAGTCAAAACTTTTCACATGGTTGGGAAATCCGCTTGTGGTGCGTACACGGATATTGCTGTCCAGCACCCCGTGTCTATACTCACAGCCATGATTCTACTGCTGATCCTGTTGTCGACAAAGACAGGGTCTCTGAGAGACTCTGCCACTGCTATAGCCGCACCATTTCGTTTGGTGTTTTCTCCGATGTCGAAAAGCTTGACACCTCCAATTTCTCTGGCCTTTGCTCCTTTCCGGCAAGTCTCTTGATTTGAATGTTCCTGCGCTTCATACTATTAGCGACCTCTCGTGACTTCCCAGTGACCGACCCCAGGTTCATAGTCCCAATTCGAACCAACACTTCTTTGGCCGAGGTCGTTCACACCTCGGTAGCCTGAGCATAATGTCCACAGGTCTCGGGCGGGGATCCAGCGCGCCACTTCCAAGTAACGTCCTAGCTTTATTAATGGTACTTTTTGAGAGTTCAGACGTAACACCAACGCACACCGGCGTACACACATCGACACACAGACACACACACACCGGCTTACATATCGGCACATACACCCCAGCACCCACCAGCACGGACCGACCGACACACCGACGTACACGCAACGACGCACGCACTCCGACGCACACACCCAAATACACCGACAAACGCACCACACTGACACGCATAGACACCGACACACTTATTGTCACACGCACAACAGCACCCACACACCGTCACACAACGACAGACACAGCGACTACACACGGCACATACATCGATATACACAGGCACAAACTGACACACGCACCGACAAACCACCACACTGCCTTGCAAACTGAGACGCACGCACCGAAACACATACTTCGATATACACAATGACACACATTGTCACACACATTGTCACAAACAACGACACAGACACCGACCTTCGTACACCGTCACACAGCGGCAGACACACCGACACACACCTACATACACACGACACATACACACCGTGACTCACCAACAAACACCGAAACGCAGAGACTGACACACACCGATACACACCCGCACTGGCACGCACCAACACTCATAGACCCACACACCGTCATACACGCAACGAGACATACACCGACGCATGCACACCGAAATACACCGACACATACCTTACTAACACACTGCGACACACGCCCACCGACACAGAATGGCGTAGACAGCGACACGCACACGACACATACACCTGCATACACCGACCCACCAGCACATCAACACACCAACACGCACTGACACTTACACTCACCGGCATACACACCGTCATGCAACGGCATACACACCAACTTAAACGGACGTACACGACAACCGCCATACACGCACCGACAGCGACGCATACACCGAAACATACCGCCACACACACATAAAACATGCCGATACACACGTAGACCAACACATCCCAGCGCACCGACCCTCACCCCAACACATACGCACCGGCGCACCGACACACACACCGATACACACACACACACGCCGACAAATTCTTTTTTCCAAACTCGTTTTAAAGGCAGCATAGGGTGGCTTAGGGTGACGCTTATACTTATTATGTGCGTGATTTGATCTAGGGCAAACGCGCTCATTGTATTGACTTTCTTGAAGACTTCAGCTGTGTTATTTATTTACTCCTATCATTGCGCTCTTGGTTTACTCCTACTTTGGAACGTATTTTCTCAGAGAGAATAAGACAACGAGTAGGTGCGCTCTATCACTTCCGATCGCTCATTGTGTTGACTTTCTTGAATGCTTTGGCCATATGTTTTCCTTCTCGTATCATTGCCCTTGTGAATCTTATGTTATTCTCCCACTTATATATCTTCCATGTCACCACGTATGCTAACAAAAATCCATTTTGTCTCTTACAGCCAAGCTGTCTGCTCCAGAAGACTCGGCGCGGGCTGCATCACGGCCCAGGAATCGTTCGTTAAAGGTTAGCTCGCTCGCAATTGATGTATAACGTTATAGCGTGAGCTGTGCTCGAAATACTAAAATAAATAGAAGGGACTTCCTATTTTTTAGGTTCGCAGCTCTTTTATTGTTTTTTTTTTGATGAATGATTTTTATATTCTCAAAGATATTTCGAAACGTTACGGAAGGCTGTATCTTTTGGCTCTGAAATCACCTAAGAATCACCTTTAGCATCTACTTCCAGAGCCTACGAAATTTGGGTCCAAGGCCCAGTGGACGAGAAGTCTGTTTGAGAACGTTCCGCTTGGTTTGTAGTCTTTGACCAAGATAAGAAGCAGAAGGAAGAAGCTTGTCGCAAGAGATCAATCGACAAGCTGTTCTGGAAGTAAGAGAAAGCGTTGTGAGGGGCAGAGAAGGGGAGAAAAAAGCCTATGCCACCGATGCAACGATGCGAGCTACGTTCTTCGCCAATTTGATCACCATGGCGGTGAATGGGATTAATTGAAAAATCCTGATCAGTCTCACAAAAGCGTGCAACCCCAAAGAAACTTGTCACAAGAAAGCATTACTCCGCTTCATTTTGCAATACATTGAGCAAGCGTAGAGGGCTTTCTTTCAGATTTACAGCACTTCATTCCCAGAAAGTTCCGATGCCCATGCGTCGTTGTATCGTCAGGGCAATACAACTCGAGACTGATTGCCTGGCTTGTTCCTAGAAGTACTCGATACTGAAAGCCATCCACTTCGCGCGTGGAATTGAGTATCGGACACTTTTCAGAATGGCCACGACTGTCAGCCTCGAGGGGTATTGCCGTCAGCTGGATCGGCTAAACCGCCGTCTAATTCGACGCGGTCGTCGTGTCAACGTTCTTTTTTCAGAACGCAAAACCGCATCGTTCAATGCCAGCCAATGAAAAATCGCTGAGCTTGGTCGAAGTAGTATTGGTAACTTCCCTTATTCTCCTGGATTGTCTCCGTCGGAATCAACATTTCATATCGTTACAGCATCTTTCGAAAGTGAAGCGACTTGATTCGGAAATGCGCGAAAGCCCCAGTTCTTTTACCGCAAGACGGCCGGTTTCCTCATGGCATCATGACGTTGGCGTGGAAGTAAAAGGAACTAGTCAAAGTTCACGAAGATTACGTCGATTTATTATTTGTCGTCACACTCACTCGCTCACAGTTCGTGGCACAGCCAATGAGGACTCATGACGGTCACACTCCCCTCGCGTGCATGGCAACCCTGAGCTCAACTATTTCTATATCGAATATTTGCGTCAAAAATTCCACGAGTAAATGAGCGTACCAATAACTTGCCTCAATTGTCTTTGCAATCTACACGGTGCTGGTTGCTGGTGTACACAGTGAAGGAAAATGCCACCGGTGCTCCATTTATTGTAAACTCAGGCGTGTCAAAGTTGGAACACTTCTCCATCAATGAACTCGGTATTTTTCTACCTAGCAGAAAATGATTGTTTCTATTCCTCTGTGAGTTCGCGATCTCTACTTGCACCGCAACACCTAAACAAGACCATTTTTGGTGTAAATTCATAAAATCTTCTGAAAGGTTCATGAAATGGAGCTCAGAAATACGAAACGTGAGGTTTGCTTAATATCTAGAACAGGAGAACTATGAAATTGTTAACAATACATGCATGTGGAAGAGGATTGGAAGAGTACAAAACAGGTTGCAAAGCCCACGAAATTGGCTGCAGCGTTTGTGGGACGTCCATAATCCATTCTTTATGAAGACGAGTCACCTCTACGTGAAACCCTTCTTGTTTAGGTCGAAGTTGGCGTTAAAATCAGCACAGATCGTGTTTAGTTTATCCTGGGGCCTTCAGGTGCTTCCAGCCAAGGCTGAAATGGACCGGAACTGATGCTACCCGACATCATCAGATACTACGAAAGACCCTCCAGTTCCATTTATTTCAATCCGAAGAATTTTCTGTGTAGTTCGCTCTGCAGTGCAGAACTATTAAACCAAACACCTAAACTTGGAGTCTTTGAAGAGAGCGCTATTGAGGTTCCCAGACAAAAATCATGACCAGTCTTGGGGGCCGATCCAGAGCGTTTGCCAAATGTCTGGAAGATTGTGTGAAGGGTTGAAGCTGATTTCGCCTCACCCTGTGCATACAGCACTGATTGCTGGAGTAAGTGTTTGCTAAAGCAATGCGTTAAACACTCATCGAATACGCATTTATTATTCACACATGCACACGAACGCAAGCTCACCTTCGAGCATGCGGTCACACATTCGCGCACATGTTTACGAATATGCGCACGCATTCACAACTTACGCACATAAACACATACTCATATGCAAAACACACACATACACATGCACATGTTCACGTATACACACATACACACAAATATGCTTGCACGCATACACACGCATACACACATACACACACCAACACTCATGCACACACACTGCACACAATTCAGTTACGGAAAAAATAAAAAGTAGTGACTTATTGTCTGTTGAGTATTCAAGCTCGGGTAATACAAGGTTGTTGTCGATAAATTTCTGACAATGGTAGATAATATTCGAATATTAGGAGGAAGAGAAATGAGGTTACATAATGTTCTGAATGTATGCTGAAGTGGCTCGTGCCATGTGCTGAGTCCTATGAGTACGCAGCCACGAAAGAAAATAATTCGTTTCCTCATATTGTTTCCTCTAAATCCCTTTTATTGAGTTGCGCGTTGTACGCGATGAAGTGCCTCGATAAGGAGCACAATTGCCTTGATACGTGTAGTTTGCGTTTCATGAAGTAATGTTGCATCGCTACTTAGTTCAGGTTGTACGAAAGGAACATCGCTACTTAGTTCAAGTTGTGCGGAGGGAACATTTGCGCGTCCTTATGATAAACTCCCTCAGGAACTTTCCAGGATTGACCATGTGCATTAATCGCAAGAAGGCTGGACTTAGCAGGATCATTCTTTGACCCAATTACTCCAGTGGATTGGTATCACATGGGCATCACTATTTTTATATTTCGCCAGCCGGCCACAATCTCTGCTTTCTTCGACGCTAGCTGAGCGCGGCGAGTCTTTAGATTTCGATCAGGGAGGTCTCGTACCTACAATGTCTCGGCATTTGCATATCAGATAATGATGATGTGTGTAATGATGTGTGCTGTGCTGGCTACAAACTGTATTGTATTACTGTACTGTATTGGAACCTCTGGCATTGATAACAATAATGCAATAATGTTTGGTTGATGTTGCAAGTGTTGCAAGAGCAACTATTGATACAGTCTTTACTGCTTTTAAAATCCTCCTTTCCGACATACTGTTCTTCTCAGTTCAGAAGTCCGCAGCGGTGCAAGATGATGAACCGTCCTTGTTGGATATGGGACGGCGAGCTGCCTCATTCGAGACATGTCAGTCGTCCACAGTCAAAGCTTCCCCTTGTAAGTTTCTCTCGGCTTCTTCGAATTCTGAGTTTGTTTTGACATAAAAACCGCTTTTTGCTCATTGTGCTCCTGCAGTGTTCACTCGAATCCTTCAAATGTACTAAACGCACGTAATTGTTGGCTGGCTTTGTAGTCTGACCTAACATTTACCGTAAACACTGACTTTTTGGTGTCGCGCAGATGAGATGTAAGGCGCCAGATGCTACAGTTTGCCACCTCGTCAGAATTGACTGCTTTCATAGTCCGCGAGCGAGGGCGAGAGCCGGTCGGGGACTACTCGTCCAGCGATATCGACCAAGATTCAGTTGTGAACAGGGGGCAAGCACCGCATCCGGTCGCTCGCTCGCGCGCTTGCGGGCCGGACGGCGGACTATGAAAGCCGCCATTGTGTCGGCCCTGATTGGACTGACCTTTGATCCTGACGTCGGCATCACGCCGTGTTGCGGCCACGAATGTGGCGACATGATTTCAGCGAAGTGACCGCAACTAAGAGGCCTACTGCCCTATATCCTGTGAGCTATTCTCGTAACACTATGCTGGTACACCAGTTTTGATATAACTTACCTTTAACCCAGTGTTTCGCTTGTCTGCCATTTCAGCACTGCGGCCGGCATCGTTCGATTCGCGAATGTCGGCGTTCTCTCCGGTGGACGTGCCACGGTTGCTTGTCCACTCGCCCGCATCGCCTCTTGCTATGGAGCCGCCGCCGCATGCAACCGACAGTCGTCTACTGACCGTACCCTCGCCGGACTATCGAAAGATGTCTTGTGAGTACTAACATATACACCCGACATGAAACTAATAACAATGCGCTGTTGTGCTCTTGTTCAATCGCTCTGCCAGCTTTGTTTTTTGGAGAAGGGCTGCACTTTTTTTCTCTCATTTTGCCTCGTCGAAATTTATCATAACATGATTGGCCTCTCTTAGTCCGTAAATGATGTGCATTTCTGACTTCCCCCTACTAACAAGGCGTATTTGGACTGTTGAAAGAGCTTTGAAACGAGACGTGAGAATTAACCTCTTAGCAAGTCGTGACTACACTAATCATAGCGCGGTTGACGTGAATTCCAATTTTTTTTACTGATTGATTTGCTGATACAACTTGGTTATAGTAGGTGACAACAATCCGATCGCATTCTCGGAGCGATTCCAAGGTTTCTCTGAGTCTCGAAAAAATCTAGGCATGGGGAGAAGAAAATTTTTCTTTGCAAGTTGCAATGTAGCAGAGTTAACCACAGCTCTCACTCTACGGATATGCTAATGCATGTTACTCTTAATTATTATTTTTACGTTTAACGAAATCGAGTTGACTTTCACGGTCTCAGTCCGCAAAATGACACGAAAAGTCGCCGTCGAGAAACGGTACTTGCGCGGAGACAGGTGATTTTAGGAGATCGACGCCCTGTTTCTGCAGTACTGAATCGACATATAATCTTCTGCATCTCGCAGGTGTGTCCATGCATACTTGTCTGGAGGGTGTGCGGATGCGGTGGGTATAATGCACATCTGCTCAACCGTAAAGCTTGCATTCGAGTGACTGTGCAGCGCATCCGGGAAACGATTCGACCGCTCTCAAGATCAATATCGATTGTCCACTTTGAGATAGCCTAAGTCAACCCAGCCTTAGGGTCAAGCCTGGCAAGCTGTTCATGGGTTCCTATGTGCCAAAAACAGTAACATAAATAGTCTCCATTCTCTGGATTCGAGTGAGCCCCTAGTGGAGTAGCATTGNATGGGATTGCTCGGGACGTCTGTCAAAATCTTAGGGTCAAAACAGGCTGTCCGAAAGGACTAGATGGCGATCTCAATTTTAGCGCACGAATGCTTGCAAGCGGAGCGGAAGAATGTGTCAAAGATTTGATGATGCAGGATAAGAAGATTAAGTACTCGGCGTCGTCGTACTGACCGGACCATGAACATCGGATCGTAAGAAAGGTTGGCAACACTGATCGAAGGTGTGGCTGAACCCCAGTTTTAACAATCTTCATTGCTTCGCACCATAATTAAGCTACGAAGAAGAAGAGATCTAAGCGTTTTATATGGACTTGTAAAAGCTCTCCAAAGATAACCACTTTTTCTTCTATGTTGTCGTCGAAAGAATGCCTTCAATGTCGGAACTGGCCCAAAAAAACGGCTGAGGAGCTACATATGGGGGCCCGCGGAGCGGAATGGAGTGAACAGAAGAGAAGACTGTTCGAGTTATGTCGACCTGCACCGTCCATGGTTATTCGCAGTTTTGGAAGACCTCTCATTTGCGATGAACAACATTGATTAACGATACAACCGATTCATCGAACATCATCATGATAATGCTAGAAAAGAAGTCTATGAGAGGCCAAGAGGCGTCTACCTCCAGAAACTCTCGGGTACGCCAGCATGGGATTGCGTGAGCTACAGACAAATATCAAAGCGTCCGAGTTTTCTGAACCGCCTAAAGAAGCGATAAGGAAGATATGAAAGAGTAAAGAGCAGCAGTTTCGGCCGAAACTACCGAGACTGAAAGAACCTTCGCTAAGCTCTCTGGAGGTTCTCCATCTACAAGGCCAAATGACTTTTCCTCTTCCTCCTTGGACGAATCAGTTACTACGCCTCAAAGGGCAATGGGAAGGTCATCCACCACTTTTACTCAGATCTCTTCGACAGCCACTTCCATCTGAATGAATACCATCCTAGGCAGGATGAATATGTCGCCCATCAGTTCTCCCTTCCGAAATTCGTATTGGAGGTGGTGTAGTAGCGAGTGGCGCACCATCTCCACGCGCGGTGGCGAGTCGATATCCGCCTCAGCCAACCAAGCCAGCCATCCCTTCGGGGTCGGTACCGGGCTCGTCTGGGAGGAGAAAAGCACTGACTCGTACATCGGCAGGCCACCGCAAGTCATTGTATAGGCAACATAGCCATTCAATACGTCACTACGATTCTAAATGGAAGTCGAATGCGTGGGCGCATCCCTAAGACGGGTTTGATTAGTGCTCAAAGACATTGTTGTTTTGTTTCCGAAATTCGTTGATGGAGAGTCGTACGTCGTAAATCTCACAGGACCAAGCCAGAACATCTAAGGGCTTCCCACCATTTATCTGGCTAAACTCTACGCTATACCTGTCGGAATACAAAGCGCCCACGACGTGGAAAACTATCAAGTGTGGTTGTTGTATAAGAAGGGAGATTCCAATGATATTGGTAACTATCGCGCAATCTGCCTACCAACTTCTCATACGCGTCTCCCCAACAGAATTGCCAAAATACTTGGTGAATAGGTAGTTACCATGCGAGCAAGCAGGCTCAACCGATCTCGATATCATTATTACAAGTCCCACCGAGGTATCGCAAGAATACAGGATGCTGTGTTGTCTGATGTTCGTCAATTCAAGGGAAGCCTTTAATATTGTCGAGACAGAAGCGGTAGCTGAAGCTCCGGGCAACTAGGAGACTCCTACTCAATGTATGTATGAAGATGCGTTGCGAGCTATACGATACGACCACGATTTCATCTTTCTGTAAGGAAGTCATTGCCAATGTGAAGAGAGGGGTTTGGTGGGGCAACACTGTTAAGCCCAAAATTTTCTGTGCCGCTCTAGAGTACATTATTCGACGTTCGAATGGGGAGACTTGAGAGTGGAAGTCGGCGGCCTCAGTTTGCATCACATCTGCTTTGCAGACGACATCTTGCTTATAACACGAGCGTCGAGCAGGCGGAGTGAATACTGCCAAATTCAATAGCCCATGATCAGAGAGACAAAATGGTACCTGATGTTACCTTTACGCTCAACGTAACGAGTATCATAGGATGCTCTAGCTACGGGTGTTTGAGTCGAGACGACCTAGCTTCGGAGCTGAGGAGAAGAAAACGCGCAAGGGAGCAATCAGGAATATCGAGGGAGCAGTAAAAAAGACAGAAACAGTCAGCATCATTTAACGATCTGTGGGAAAGACTATGCTTGGGATTTTGGATTCACGCATGGGCAAAAGGTGATTTGTTCCGAGCGCAGTCTGTAGCCGAAGATCAGGGCCGCTGTTGCTTATGTCGAGAATTGAAGATTAGGCATGTCATACACGTCATGTGACACTGTGACTGCTACTGGACCAGGGCAGTTACTGACTCGATGGAATGATCATTATGCTCTTAGCTATCACTTCTATCAGACTTTGACAAGAAAGCTCTGAAGGAAAGCAATGCTATGTCTACTGTCCCTTGAGTGAGGTTTGGACAATTCTGGCTCGTGAAAGGGCGACGGAGATGTTATCGGGAAAATCGATGATCAACGGGTACGGCAGGTGGCAAAGGTGATACCGCTAATGGGGTAAACAGGAGTAGTCTCTGTGAAAAGGAAAAAATTTGGTAGTGCTCGACCCGCACAGGAATTGAGGCAATTAATAGAAACACTAGGTGTGACTGAAAGCGTGGTCGAACTGGGGAGAGTCTCGGAGCCTTCTTGTAACCGAACCGACGTGAGCGAAATCCTGCATTCTTATAATCGAGTGAGAAACCGGTGATAAGTTGTCAATTGTATATCTTTGAAACCTAGTTTTAATTCTCAACCTCCACTTCGTCAGTTTCATGAGATCAGCGTTGAGTAATAGTCATTTCTACACTCCTTATTCTTCAGGTGATTCACCGAAAGCCAGCGACTACATTACAATGGGCTTAGCTCCAGCCATTCTCGGTCAGTTGACGGCAATTGCGTCGACGATGATGACACCCAGTACGATGGAGGAAACCAAACCGCCGCAAGTTCAAGTTTGTGATTATTCTAAAGCATTTCCTATTGGCTTTATGTGTGATTTCGAATACTAAAAAATCAGCACGAAGAGTTTTCAAAACAAACTCTCTTGATGAATGATTGAGAGAGGTTTTTGCGATAAACTTTATAATACCATTGCATCGATGCGGAAATGAGCCTTGATGAGTTCTTTTTCCCTGTCTCACTATTCTCCTCATTTACTTTTTCTCTCTCAGTCTAACCCCTCCAAGCGACTTATTCAGAAATCAGATGGTTGCGATAAGTCACATCGTCCAGATCACGTAATGGTCCCCTGCTCCCTTTTATCAAATCGAAATGCGCGGCTGTCGTTCCTCTTCAGACATGAAACTTGTAATTCTGATCACAATTTTTTATGAGGGATATGCCTAGAACTGTGGGGACATTGAAAATATGACACAGGTACCTAGAGGAGAAGAGCTCGTTTTGAGCAGATCGGTGTTTCTAGTGTTCGACATTGAAGGGCTTAACGTTGACGCTCATGATAACGAAGTTTACCTGACAGTTTTGATGGTTTTTACAGTAATCATCTATTAAAAACTTGACTTGTTGTTATTAGTTTTTTCCGGATGCAGCCGTTTACATAAAGGATAAACGGATAAAGTCTTGGGGCTTTAATCAATTTCGTCTAAGGGACATGCCCATGTATTCGACTTCCATTCAGACCCTAGTGGCGAATGAATGAGATGAAGCCTACACAATAACTTGCGGCGGCTACCGATGATCACGTCAACGTTTTCATTTTTTCTCGAGAGTGGTACCAATTAAGGTACCCTGGAGGGATGGATGACTGGTTGGCTAAGGCGGGTATCGATCTATGATCGACCCGTAGCCATGCGTTTGAGATTATGCGCCACTCGCCGCTACTCCACTGTTTACATACTGCCGAGAAACTTGGTCGCTCCAGCGAATTCTTAAATGGTTTCACACAATGAAATGTCAGCATCCATGAGCTCTCCTATGATTCTTCGTTCATGTAAGACTTTTGTAAAATTTTCGGGTTCACCGGCAGGAAGGTTTGGCCGCAATATTGTCGGTTATCGGAATAAAGAGGAGATACGATTTTCCACTGACAAGTGAACGATAATATTAGGGTTATGCATTTATTGTTTTCCCCTGTGTTCGACCCTTCCGTATTTGGTTTACATAAACGTTGGTATTTCGTCATCACGTGTGCGCGACTTGATGATCATTCATCACACTAGCTATCATTCACCCACCCTTCATATGCAGAGAAAATGCCACACATTTACGGCAGTGACAGAATGTACCTGCGCCACGGCCTGGTTTTGCTGCACGATTCTGGCTGGAATGCAAAGGAAGACCATAGCAAGCTAGTGGAAACACACGGCGAGGGTGTCATCTCTCACCGCACATGCAAAATGGTTCACCAGATTCAAGAGAGGAAATTTTTCTCTCGAAGATGCTTTGGGGTCGCGTCGACCGATGGAGTTGGATTTGGAAGTACTACGTTCCACCGTGGGAGAGGACCCCTATTCAGCCACCACGGAAAGGGCGACAATGCTGGGCTATAGTCAGTAAACAATTGTACGTGGACTGGAACAGCTCGGCAAAGTAGCAAAGCTTGGTCGTTTGGTCTCACATGATCTGGCCGCTTATGACATCTTGAGGAAGGTGGCCACCTGCACTTCTCTTCTCATGTTCCAAAAGAAGCTTCACTTTTTCAGCTGATGATCACTAAAGATGAGAAGTGGGTCCTCTACTAAATTCCTGTGGGGAAGCGGTAGGGGTCGATAAAGGAGAACAGCCAGAAGCCACCCTTAGGCCGACTTCTACGACGGTTGACGCTTCCAAATACGTTACCCAGCTGCGGAAATTGAAAGTTCAAGAACTCCTGGTCGAGTGCGGAAATCGAATACCACCATGACAACGGCCGACCTCGCACTGCAAAGGCGGAGCAGGAGAAGTACGGATGGCGTTTGTCGCCCACCACCCCTACAGCCCGTACCTCGCTCCTTCCGACTACTGGCTGTTCATCCACCTGCAGCGCCCTCTGAGCGGAAAAATGTTTGAAACAGAGGATGAGGTCAGGAAGGCACTCGAAGTTTCTTCAAGTCCCAGCTCCCGTCCTTCTAGGAGGCCAGACTGCCTGAGAGTTAGCGTCCGTCGAGAATTGGATGGGGATGGTGCACACCACTAATCTTCAGGTTGGTTCGCTATTGAGATATTTACATAAAAGTCGGGGGAAAAATATATGCATCGGCCTAATAGGCAGCAGTGGCCCCTTTATGGTGATATGTTTGTTGCCTTGAAAGTTTTTCAAACGCTCATATCTAGCTGTGTTCCAAATCTGTAAAAGGATTCTGAGAACAAACCACAGAATCATCATCTCTTGTATTATACCACTAAGCGGCACCAATAAGGGACGAACAGTAGGCATTACACTGTGCAGCGGTGGTGCAGATGGTAGGGCGCCGCACTCATATTCTTGGCATGGAAGTTAAAATACCATTCAATTCTCATTTTTTGAAACGTTCATGCGTTATGCTCTACACTGTAAGTTATCCGGCAATTGTCGAGCATTACGATGAGGTGGGACCCGGTGCTATAGCTCGACTTACAGACCCGAATAAAAGTATGGGTTGCTTCGAAGTTGTCCTTTATTGAATCTTCCTTGTTGAATTCCAGCGCCAATCGGCGAATATCGTTGGCGTGCAATGAGTTTGTCATATCCGTATCTGATATCCAAAGCTAACACATTAGCCCTATCGCTTTACCTATGGCTACAACCCCCTATGACATCATAGCAGGTTATAGTGAACTGAATCGAAAGCTCATGGTCTTTCCCAACTTTTCCTCTGTGGGTGATAATCACTTGCTACCTAGATGGTACTCACTTCAATAGAAAAAGTTAGTCAGGAGGCACGTTTAAGTTGATTTGGAGGTAACATTTCTGGGTTGAAAAGCCGAAGTGTTGATGTAGAGGAGTACATAGGTGGCGAAGAAAGCGAGAAAGTCCGCCGACTTCAAACATTTAAAAAGTTGTGGAAGTGGAGGTTGTGCGAGATCACCGTGACAGGAATGTGTGTAAAAGGTGTTTGGACGAAATTTAACTTGCTCCTATTGTGCAAAGAGCTGAATACATCAAACCATAAGAGCCCGGAATTTCCTTTCACTGTCGCTATGGGTCATGAAAAGTTGTTTGGACTTCCTACATTGGTTCCCTTGTGAATGATGCAGCCTGTACAAAGCCGTTAAAACTCGTCTACTAGGGGTGTGGCGTTCACACGATACTATCTCTGGTCCCTTGTTGTGCCCTATTCAGAACGTTTTTCGCCCTTATAACGCCAGGTAAAGTACAGGAGGGAGCCTCGAATAAAACTATAGGGGCATCTCAGAAACGATTTTTTCGTGAACTAAGCCTTCAAGCAACAATTTAGGTTATGTTTCGTGGGAAAGCAGAATTAGCGGTTACATCCGAAGAAATCGAACCTTCAAGCCATACCTATGGGGGCGCCGTTCTATCGTCTGAGCAGCGCAGCGACTATTCAGATCGCTTATCCGTTTGGCACTGCAGTGTAGCACAGGGCAAACAGCTCATTTACTTTGTTTCTGAAATCATTTTACAGATTTGGGTCGGCGTTCAGGCACACTCACAGCCGTATATATCTATATTTCAATGGCCACTGCTACCTACTACACTTTCCTTGCGAGTCGCAGACCTAAGTTCGTAACGGTCGTTATCTGATATCAATCAACAATATCAAATTTTCATTATTTTCTTTCATGTTGCTGATGCATTCACTCCCCACCTCCGCTCCTAATTTGTCGAACTATTCTGTCATACCTTGTTATTGTATGAAACTTACCACAGGGTCAAGGCTGCATCGTAAATGCAGAAGGTATCAGGAACTAGTTGCTGTCGCTTACCGAGGTCTCTTGTCGAACTTCATGAGCTGTTAGCATTTCCTGTCTTCCTTCATCTACGCTCTTGTTGCATCGCCCATCACCTACTGATGTATTAGGGTGTCCGGAGAGTTTTGAGAAAATTATGCCTCTCAGCTATGGAAGCATCTTGCTTCCAGGCGCGCTAAAACGAGGCCAAGGATCCTATAGCAGGGAAGGGGCATTGTTGGCAGTACAAGACTACCGATCGGTGTTTGATGTCGTTGGAAGTGAGTGACCATCGACCAAACTATGTTCGACGTGACCGTCAGCGTCTTCTGCTTCATCACTACGAAACTGTTCGCTTTGAGACTCAGGTTTGGAATGAGTCATGGTGGCTTATGAGCAGCAAGCACCCTCTCTTACCACTCATTATAAATAGAATGATAGCCTTGTCTGAAAAGAGTTTTGCTCTGAAGATGCTCGTCAAAGCAGAGTTCTCGATACTGATCTAGCCTCCTGTCAAAGCAATCCTCAAATTTTCAGAAAATGAAGAAGATTCCCACTCCCATGCCTCCATCCTTGACGTTCTTCGCAATAGTCCTTCCAAGGTAGGACTCACACCAAATATCTAGATTATCTGATTGAGCACGAGCGCAGAGCACCAGTTGATATGTGTCGGAGCTCCTCGACATGGACAGACTTCATTTTGCGCAGGATAAAAAACTTATGTCATTTGGAAATTTACCCAGGAAGTTGCAATGCCACCAATGGACGTAAAGCAACAGCCTGCTCCAAAGCGTGGTGCTCACGTCAAGATGGATATGACCTCATCTTTTCTCTGCTCAACGGATTGTTTTACTAAGAGACTCTTTCAGAGTGTATCGCGGTGACCGTAAGTAGACGCCCCACATCACGCACACGTCCACATTTACATATGTATGCACAGACATGCATACGCAACTACAGGGTGGCTCCAAAGTATGGTCCGCCAAATCACACGTCGCTTGCTAACCCGTATATCCCTGTTTCAGCTGTGCAATATATGCTCTGGATAAAGCATGTCAGTCATGCACTGTAGCCAAATTATTGCGACTGTCGGTAGAAGTACCTCGTGAAGTGCGACCGTCTCCTCATCGCGCCACCATCATACATCTCGTGGACGAAGGATGTTCCGCTGCGGAGATCGCAAGAAGGCTGCACATTAACGACAGAACTGTCGGAAGAATTGTGGCCCAGTAAGGGAGCGGGGACACCATCTACCACTTCCAAAATCAGGGCTGCCAAGAACTTTCACTGTTCCTCGGACTCGGGAGGTGATCAAGAAAGGGATCTCACGCAACGTTGAGGTCAGCATGAACAAAATTGCTTCGAATTTGCATACTCACGAGGAAGTGTTCAAAACATTGTGAAATATGATCTAGATTTACACAGTTACCGCTTCTTACGAAGCCGGATGCTCAGCGAAGCAGCAAAGAAGAACAGACTGGAAAAAATGTCAGAAGCTCCTGACAGCAGTTCGTGCGAGCCGTTTCTTTTCTGTCCAGACATCGTCTGGACAGAAAAGAAAACCTTTACGGTCGAGCGCACAACAGCCTAAACCAGCGGCAGTTGCTACCTCGGGTAGAGGAAAACTCCAGAAAACGACGAGTAAAAACCAGGAGCCTCTTCCCGAAGTCGGTGATGGTATGAACCGGAATAACATCAGAAGGCAAAAGACCTCTCGTTTTTGTTGATAAAAACATCAAAATCAACTCGAAAACTTACCAGAATGTTATTTTAAGGGGCACACTATTACCATGGGCCCGGAATCACTTTGGAGAACGGAACTCTATCTTGCAACAAGGCTGGGCACCAGCACATGGGACGAAATCCACGATTTCCTTCTGCCGACATNTTAAAGGCAGCTCTTCAGAGGGGATGGCAGAAAATTGATGACCACTACTTGCGGCCCACAGTGGGAGCCTTTACGAAGAGATCGGAAGCTTGTATTCTGGCCAAAGGCGATCATTTCGAACAATACCTCGAATAAATGTTCCTTCATCTTAGTCATACCATTTAATGAAAATTCTTTGAGAATTGTGTCTTATCTTTTTACATGCGAATAAATACCGGACCGTAACTTGTAGCCACCCTGTACATACACGCTACGCGTTCACATACACTTATACATACCTATATACTCATGCTTACATGTGGATACACATATACAGCTACACTTACCGTGCACCCACAAATACACATGCACATACATTCACAATTGAATAAGCAAATAAACCAATACACCAGCTGGCAAAACCAATACACCAGCTGGCACACTCAGGGACTTCTATATGCATTCATTCGTATCAAGATTGTCTCATTATTATCGTACATAGCAGAAAATCTGATGACGTGGTATTCTCGGACATATAACAAGAAAGGGTCCCTTTTGTATGATTGACATGTTGACATGTTGAATCCATAATTTTTCTAACTGCAATGTAATACCACGAAAATTTTTGATCGCCTACTAAGGTGGATGGTCATTGTTATAAGAACATGCTGGAGTAGATGCTGTTACATGATCTTTCCTCGTCTCTTTTCGCACGCCACCCAAAATTCCCCAGCCAAGGTGGTGTAGCCCAATCTTTTGCCTTAACCTTTATTCTCACGCTTCCTTTCCTACAAATAAATCTTTCTCCCGATTTTTCGTTCCGTTCCTAAATCGATCGTGTAATTTTTTCTTTCGACGAGTTCACTGTTTGAACCTGCGCAATATATTTCACTAGAGCAACAGGGCTATCTATGGTTTCATTAACACAAAAAAGAATGGTATAATTGTTTTTTAGGAGAATCCTGAGCGCACCAAAGTGTAGATGATGGCTGAAAGCATTAATAAAATATAGAGAATCTTCGAGTGCTAATCTGAATTAGAGATGTTAGAATGTCTCGGATTGTAGTCAGTGGCAATGAAGCAAAAAATCAAGGAAAAACAAAGTGCCAAGCTCCTGAGACCCTATACGCTTCACAGCAAAGGCGCTTCAAACAGAGCTTGCGAATTTTATGATTTCAGCTCCACTTTTTGAAATGTGGCCTACGCGCTGTGGTAGGATCGAAATAGGGAATTCATGTGACAAGTGCAGCTTGCTATGAGGCTTCTCCACTCATAGCGACTGTGTGTCCCTCGCTTCATTTGCTCCTCTTCGCCGCCTACGCTCATTTCCCTGATGCTTGGACAGTTCTGGTATCGAGACGTGAATTTTGCTGTTTGCTTCGCACTTCACNCACTTCACGGTAATTTTGAGGCATCTAATTTGAGTGGAATCATGGAAGCCACCTTGCGGGATAGTGCAAGGGTGGCGCCAGGAAGCGTCAAATGTGTTACTTTTCAATAATATAGGGCTTCAAAAAATGGCAAAAAAGGAATTGTGGGAGATGGCAGTCTGGAGCACTCCTTCAAGGGTACTATTCGTTTCCTCTAAAGATAGCGCTATTATATTAGGGCCGGCGTTACACGGCCACTGTGAGTGTCTGCGTCGGCCAAACCGGTTTTGAACTCCTTATTTCGCCCTGTCTAGGCCGTTTTTCGGCCCAGCAACAGCCCATGAACTATTCCCCGAGCAACTAGTGAGCCACAGATTCATCCTAGCGAGCAATCCTAGAAACCATTTTTGTTGTGAATTTTGCCGTTAAACTACATAATACATTTTTCAGAGCATGGATTGTACTGCGTCACTCGAGCAGATTACCTCATCATCCCTTGATCTCCCTCTACCTCCGAGCATAGGCCAGGAACAGGCAAGCCAATATCCCAATTATTCAGATTTCTATCGAGATTCTTTGGAAGCCATCAGAGGCCTCTATGCAAGGACACTAATGTTTGCGTATACACATCCGGCTACCTATTCCTTGCTTATTTAGCACTATAACAACCAAACTGTATACGCGTTTTCAAGTCGTGCTTTTTTATGAAGCCAGCCACTCCGTTTTCGAAACATTGTGAAATTGTAAGAGGCATTTGGCCTTGAAGCCCCTAAATGCTCTTCTGTGTACACGTGTTTCAACTTTTCAACGTTCAAAACGGAAATGTCGAAGATAAACTTCGTTCGAGCCTATCGATCGCGATATTATAAATAAAATATTGTTTCGAGCATACAAGTGAGTAGAAAGGTCCTGGGAGAAATCTTTACGACTGAATTTTTGGTAGTTACTTTCCACATTATCCTACACTTTTATCTGCCAGTGAGATAAGTGCTATAAGTGCATGTTCAGGTACAACTGCCCCAGGCGTCTGCCGAGCTGCTAGCACAAATGCCAGCTAAGTCTGTAATACAGGACGACATTCGCAGTGGTAACGGCAGGTTTCAACTAGTGCGCAAGCGTGGTCGTAGCGAAGTCTGGAATCTCTTTGGACAGGTCAGCTGTTCTTCGTTACTGAAGCAAGGACTTAGTGCTTTGTTGTCTTGCTGATCCTGATGGCTTGTCGAACTCCGGTTTACTGAGTTCCACGTAATTTCGGGATATGTTTTACTGTTGCCGTCAAAACGAATTATCCTATTACAGAAAGCAAGGGTGGAAGTGTGGAATATATTGATCCGGAAATTATGTCAGCTCTTCGATTAAAAGATGCGTTCGAACGCTTAAATACACATTTTGTAATAAACGGCTGCTGCAGAAGAAGCTACTGCAGAAACGAGATTGGATCCAGGGTCTTGATGAGATTAGAAGTGAAAACTTAGGTGACTTCGTAGATTTCTTTCATATGGACGAAACGATCTTAAGGTCCCAAATCAGTCTTAAATTTTTGAGACGAGATGATTTTCGATGAGACGTTTCAGGCTAACTCACCTTACAGTGGAGTAGCTGAGTGATATAGCGCTAGAGGAAATAATGTTGCAAAGAGTACGACATTTATTTCCAAAATCCTGAGTGAAATCTCTGTTTGTAGCGAATATGCAGAGTCGGGTATAATGTATATAAACTTCTCTCCTCTGACAAGGGAAGGATGCTAGGTCGCAGTGGCCATTCAGTACGAGATGCACAATAGGGTTTGTTTTTCCGGGGAAGATAAGAAAAAAGTCACGGGAGCGGAAGTTGTTACTCTTATTTTTTATAAACTATTTTACTACTACTTTTTATAAAGCATAAAATTACTAAATTTCCACCCATGCAAATTTGGTTAATACAGCTCGTCCTCGAAATGCTGGGAGCGCAACCACGCATCGCTTATTATTGCTATTCTATTCAATCTCTAACAACCTTCCACATTTCACTGTGTTCTTCTTTCTGAACACTAGTTTTTGATGGTATGTTCGTAGTATGCGTGAACAATCGGCTCATGAACCAA